TTTTCATAGCATATATATATATATATATATATATATATATATATATATATATATATATATATATATATATATATATATATATATACATTGTCATCAATTTTCTGTTGGGAAATTCAGTCAATTAAGGCCCCATTACTGAGCAGAATATGACCAAAGGTGGGAAATTCTATGCAACAGCAAAAATAAAAATAATGCATGTTTCATCAGGGACATATAGATATACTATATAACATACAGGTCCTTAGTTTAATTAGATCTGGGAAAAAAATATTTGGTATAATGCAAAGCAATAGTGGAGACATTTTTTTCTTTGCATACCGACACTTGATACATAAAGATAATTTTCACATAATATATTAATGTTTGTCGTACCTTGAACTCATACATTACAAAATTTATAGCCGTAAAGGGAATATCCTTGTCAATTGAACCAAAAAACACTATCTTTAGCAGAATTTGTATCATAATGCTGATGTAAGGGGAAAAAATCGGTAGAGCATTCACATGGCCATTGGCTGCAAAGATCCTGCAGAAAAAACATATCAAGACCGACACTCTTAGATGACGGGTGAAAAGTGATGGATCGCTATTGTTAGAATGAAGTGTGACAAATAAATTGATTTTCTGGTCCAGTGAAATTCTGTTCAACCTATAGAACAGAGATCCGTTTTGTGAAAATTAATTAATTTAAGCAGTGTTAACATACAAAAGTTTTTAGGCAATACATACTACTTTTTATATTGGGAGAGTGTCAGTAACCAGTTAAATTGTGTCATGTTTTTTCTAGAATTTAATTTGGCAAGCTTTTTACATGGTATTGTTATATCCCCTATCTAATGTTCTGGACGTCCCCAGAGGCCACGGTACTAGTGAACAAAGGACATCCTACCAGAATTCTGAAATAAGGTCATTAACTTAGGTCTAAATCAGTGAACAGTTTATTTTATTATACTTCTAATAATTAAATTAAAATTTTGTTGATTTATTCCTATTTTTATCATGTAATTGCTTTCATTGGCCAGTAACAGTATCAAGGTGCACATTACTTAAGCGGATGGTGCATGGCTGCTCTCGGTTCTTGGAGCAGTCCCCGATCTTTTGTTTTTCAATCCTTAACTTGAAAGGTTTTTAATTCCCATTAGACTCCACTGTCCATATTTATTAATCTTTTGAAGTGATATTGCTTTTTCATGTGAATATTATCAATCAAGGTTATGTATAAATAAGGACATATCAGAAAAAAACAATCAATTTTTGTCCCCTGTATATATTGGATTGTCAGTATGTGAATGTTTTCGGAGGTTGAAGACTGCTGATACTCTGTATTAGCCAGAGTGATGTAGAGCTGTAGAAGTATTTAATGAAAACTGTGGTCATCTCTGAACCAAGTGTCAAATATAGCCCCAAAAATCAATGCCTACTGCCGTACTCTGTGCTGGTCATTCATTGATTCTAACTCCTTGTTCTAGCTTTGGATTTTCATTCACAAGACTGTAATTAGATTCAAAATTAATACTTGTATGAACATGGTTTTAAATGGTCAAGGTTTTTTTTTTTTTGGTTAATCATTAAATTGATCCCATTTGATATTAAATGGTTAATGTTGTTTTTTTTCCAATATTCTTTCTCCTTGAGAAAATGTCAAGATCATTAGATAGGGAGAACCTGTCTCAGACGGTCTGTCTGGGAACCTGAGAGGAAAATTAGAAGAAGGGGAAGATGAATTATTTATTTGTGGGAAACAGAATTCTTTTTCTTGCTGCCATTTTGTCTCACAATTCTTTTTTGGACCAAACCAAAAAAATAAGGGAAATCAATTTCCATGAGTTATTCACACTTTTTTTTTTCAAAAGTCTGAAAGATGTCATACTTGATGGAGAGAGGGAATGAATCTCTTTTTTTAGGGTAGATGTTTTTTCTGCCTTCCTCTAAGATATACTGTAATGTTTCATCAGCAAATCCAAGTGATATCTGTAAACAGCAGGGGTGACCTCCCTAAGCATTCCAGAGGATCTCAAGATATCATCACTGCATTGCCATAAATACCAGTATTGTACTTTTCTGACATATTTTCTTCATAAAATGTATGTTTTTGTCTATTGCTCTCATTGTAAACAACAAACAATTACTGAAATATTATCGGGATTTATTACTTTGTTTGTTTTTGACACAGGGAAGACTAGAGGTACTGTGAGCACTAAGCTCACAAAATGATGCCCCCCGCCTCCCATATCATTATAATGGCAAAGTCCATGTTTTGCCATGGAAGACCCGAAATAAGTGTCAGATCAAACAGTAAAAATAGAAGGTCACAATGGCACTTTGTAAGAAAGTGGTATAGGAGGAGTTGCAGAAGGTCCCCCCTCAATATTATAGAAAGAATGGCAGTGTCTATGTTTTGTTATTGGAAATTTAACCCAAAAAATATGTCTGATCAAAAAGTAAAATAGGAGGTGCACAATGGCACTATGTAACAAAGATTTTGTGTAAGTCTCCAATTTCATTCAGTGGAATAAGAGGGGTTGTGGATAAGAGATGGGTATCCCACAGCTAGATGGACGGACGGACACCCCCATCACTATACATTCCCCCTTTTCAAGCAGATGATATAAAAAGAGAAGGATTGTTATAATCAGATTACTTTGTTACTGAGGGTACATATCTACACATATATCATGATATCTCTTTGTATGTAACGAAATGTGAAAATTGTGCCATGGTCAGCAATTTAAAAACCTGAAGTAAAGTTTTCTCATTTATTATGTAACGGTTGTTTGCGTAAAGGATAGGATAAGGCATTAACAATGTGATGAATAAGGAAAATTTCATGGAAGTTTGTTCTTATATTCCTGACAAATAAGTAACCAGTTCATTTAGCTGGCTGAGAGGTTTTGGTTCTTTAAAATAGTAAATAAATTCAGATTCAAATTTAATGCTGTCTCAAACTTTGAGAAATTTTTAGATTATTTTGTTGGTTTTCCCCCAGGTTTTTGCTGCATCTAAAATATACATATTGATATAAAGAGAGATGAAGAGAAACATTTTTTGTCTTGTTTGTGTGTGTGTGTGTGTGTGTGTGTGTGTGTGTTTGTTTTTTTTTTTTACTCTATGTCTTTAATTTCAATCTTGAAATTGTGCCAATTACTTGGTGAATTGCGTTTTTTTTAATCCATTTTTTTAAATAGTATTGTTCGTATGAAAAAAATAAGACGATTTGGTAAACAGCAATAATAAATATTTTTATCAGTCGGTGAAGGTCACGAGACAACACCTCCTTTTCGGCCAATCATATTTCGTGGTGCAGCCAAGCCCACTTATAAACTGCTCTAAGAAAACACAACATTTTTCTTCTTGCAAAGTTTCTACTGTTGTTCAATATTTGTGCTTACCATATTAAGGAAAATATACATAATGCATATGAAAGAAAAAAATGTAATGATTTTTTTCCCACTTGTAAACTGATTTCAAGACGGCCCCTGGAATGCTTCTAACCCTTTACGTCATTTTAATATATGCAAATTGACATATGACATAGAAAAGGGGGGGGGAGTATGGTAGTTGCATTGATATCTGAAAAATATCACACAATTATTTTTTATTTATTGGCATTAATCACACAAGAGCTCAAGATATTGTGTAATTGTTTCCTGATGTGATGCTGGTATCAAGTGGAATTTTTTTAGACGTGTGTCACATGTCTGCTACACGGCTTGTGATTGGGTGAACTTTTGACTTGGGGTCAGTTGCATAAATTACCATAATAAATAACATCGCATGTTATCAGCAGGTTCGGTATGTCATAATGTATTCAGTGAAGTGTTGTGAACAAGGAACGAACGAATGTTAGTAGACATTTGTTATGGAAAAGAAAAACATGAATTAAAATTTACTGCAACTGAAAGCTGCTATAATAATTCATTTGCAAATCTAATTTTATCATAAATTCACATGTTATTGAATTCAATGTGGGATTTTACAAACTTGCAATCTTTGGATCTAAATAGCAACTGTGTGATTGATTCGCCGTTTGAAACGGAATCGTCTGTGTGTAAGAAGTGTAATAAAAAGGCACCTGATCCCTGCAGAGGATTGCATGAATCTTTTTTATACAATGACAACGAGAAGGTACAGCAATTTTATAATTTCCATCCACTTACACGTTAATTTGATATTTTTTTTAATTTTATAAACATATGAATGTAAAAAAAAAAAGAAAGAAAGAAAGACAGTTAACTATCCGTAATATTCTTTTCATTTGTGCATGAATTTAATGTTCGAAATAGGCTACCGGTTTATTAATCTGAATGAAGTCATTAAATAAAGAGAGAGAGATCTGCCGTCTTCTCTGCACGTTTTGTTTACTTTTGAAACGCTCCCCAATGCTAGTCTCGTTCTGGAAAGGTCACGGTAGAAAATGTGCCACTCAGCTGTTTTGTGGGTTTGGGCAAGCATAGACAGACGACAGACAAACTCTGTAAAATTTTAGTCATACAACGTTTTTAATGAGAATTTTTGCTGGTATATAGTATGGTACACCTGGAATTTGTCTCTTCGGGAAGATATAACGTCTACAATGGCGTAAGTTTTTGTAGGAAGTGTTATTTGTCGGTTTATGTAGCCGGAATCGAGTCCTTTGTTGCGATTTGTCAGATGCTGTGATCATCTGTCACACAAAAAAATTTTAACTCAGGCTTGAAGTTCTGCAGTCTAATGAGATATCTGTTTTGGTATATTTTTTTTAATTAATTTGTATAGTTATTGGAGGCTTTTTTCTTCATTCTTTTTTCTGATGATTTGAATAATCCTATGTACAGGCCTTGATTCGTTGTATATAATGGGATTGTTCTGATTTTTTTTTTTTTTTTTTTTTTTTTTTTTTTTGTTTTTTTAGATTCAAATAGACTAGCCTACTCTAAGGTTTGATACTGAGTTTTTTTTTTTTTAGTGATTTTGGTAATATTTGCAACATTAGGCTAATATTTATTTTTCTTTTTCCACAGATTGTACCAGTGGCAACATCGGAAGACCAGGTATTTTTTACTTTAATTTTCTGTTGGTGGTGAGGGAATATTGTTTTGAACTTTTTAACATAAATAAATTATAATATTTTTCACATAAGTTATTTTTGCTTGATATTTTGACAATTGAAGGGTTATTGAGGCACAGTAGATTAACCAGAAGTTCTTAACATGTAAGAAGATAATGAAAAATCAACAAAAATAATAATTTAAGACTAACATGTATTAAGATCTGTAAGGTTTTATTTTCCCAATATGCTAAATTTGTCAAATCAATAGATTTTATATAAAGTTATGCATGAAGGTTTTTTTTTGTTATTATAATTAAAGACACATAATCCTGTCATATTGTCAGACCTAATCATAAAACCATTCAGGTCGTTGAATTAAATCAGTCCATTTAAATGAAATGCTTGCAAATACCTTCCTTGACAAAATCTAATAAGGACACGGATCCTTAAATTTCTACTAGGCAAACATGCTGATGCAATCCCACTCACAGCTATAATGTGATGATGCAACCTTGCTTTCCTGTATATCAGTATTGTATTCTGGGTTGGGGTAGCATTTCTCTTAAGTCAGTCTAGAAATGAAGATAGGTGTTGGAGTAATTGATAGAAAAAGTCGAAGGAAAATGGAGAGTGAACCTGATAGTCCGAGTGTGGACAGGTTATCGCTATTGGAATGTATGAGAACGATCTTGTCAGAGGTATGACTGATAAGTGGCTATAGTACATCTGGCGTTTGACAGTCCTAGGTATTTTCTGCTGACTAACTCTCACTATCAGAGCAGACTCAGGTGTTACAACACGTGGGAAAAGTGGTCTAGTCAGGGGTTAATTTTTTTTTTGAAATATTTTTTCTATTGAAAAAAAAAAATTAAATAGCAGATTTCAGTTTAACCTATTTTCTCATTGTTTTAAAACTATTTTTCATGATCATAATGTTGAAATTTCTTAATTGTTATGATTTATGCTATAAAAAGATACCATTTTGACTAGAACATTTTTGTAGGAACAATAAAATACTCTTGAATTATATTTTTATTTTAAATCCAATTTTAAAAATAGCCTATTTCTGAAACTATAAAATTTTGCATTAATCAGAAACTTTAACAAAGTATGTAGTTTATTCAAAACTTTTAGATGCTAAAATGCCTGTAACTTTTAAATTATAGAATGACTAGACAGTTTATGTAAAGTTTTCAAAAGAAGGATTAGCATTTAATTTCCTATAAAATAATAAAGATAGTTTATAATGTAGAGTCGTAAGGCAGAAGGGTTTGTTTTATAATGTAGAGTCAGTTTGTTTGAACAGTTAGCTGGGAGGCAGGTGTTATGTCACAAAGATAAAATATTTTCATTAAGTCCTTGAAGTCTGTCCACAAAGTGACCAGTAGATATTGTCAGGGTTAGGTAATGAAACACTTCAAAAGCCATAAATGGCTGTCTATATATTGCCTATGTCTGAAGACAAGTAGGTGTACAAAGAGAAAAAAATACAAGGTGCTGTAAGTCACTCAAGTTTTATAATCTTCCTGTTTATATTGTGTTTTTGCTGGACTTTTTTTGTGCATAAATCAGTGGTTATCTTGATATCCTTTTTTTGAATGAAAAGAAAGAATTTGATTGAAATATACACGTATGTGACTTTTTACAATTAAAGTAATTTTTCTTTAACTGTTCACTGCAGTTTCAATGTAATAATTAAATAAGTTTCTTAAAAAAAAAAAAAAAACATTTTTATGACATTTTCAAATACAGTGTCAGCTATTTTTACCAATTATTGCACAATAGTGAAGTTTGATCTTTGTAAAACCATTAGGATAGGGATAAGCAAAGATAATCTCTGATGTTAGATTTCAATGGAAATAATCACTTGTGATCTATTGTATACTTAGGTGTTTTTAACAATACTATACCATGACACTACCCATGACAAGTTCCAACATGTATAGAAAGGTTAAAAAATTAATAAGGGAAAAGAAAGTTCATCCACAACTCCACATACTCTTTCTCTGTAAATAAATTCTATTTTGAATTTTAAAAAGTCTTTGTCTGCATTGGACAAGCTGTCAGCAGTATTATTAGAAAAGAACATTCATTTGCATATTAATTAACATACATACGATATGTGCCTCAATTAACTTCATGTCTGCATTGTGACTATTGTTTCACTGACATTATGGAATACATTATACATGTATTTAATTGTTCCATGAATTGACTTGTAGACTCAGATGTTATTTGTGGACGCTTTCCTCCAGAACAATCGCCTGGATCATGTCACTCAGCTGATGGGGTACCACCCTAATTATCTGGAGATGTTCCTGAGGACACAGCAGTACCTCCTAAGGGGGGATGGGCCCCTTCCTTTCCATTACAGACATTACATTGCTATCATGGTAAGCCATTCATATATATGTGGTACACTTAAGAGTAGAAAGAAAAGTGTGCAAACATTCATGATGTGAATTAAGTGTTATTTTCATATCAATTTTTTTTTTTTTTGGGGGGGGGGGGGGGATAATATCGTTAACTTTTTGAACTCAAGAAATTTTTTAGATATAGGATATTGTGTATAAAAGGGAAGGGGGGGGGGGGGGTATTTAAAAAAGTTCAATTAATTAAAAGAAATGGGTATAGTTGTACTTCATTTATTACAGTTCTATGTGTGTAGAACATTGAATTAATATTATCTTAATTCTTATACAGGCAGCTACCAGGCACCAATGTGCTTACCTTATCCATCTACACGAACAGGAATTTATCCTACAGGGAGGGGATCAGGAGTGGCTTAAAGGCCCCGCCCACATCCCTGCCAAACTACAAAAGCTGCATGAAGTAAACAAAATCCTGGCACATAGACCATGGCTTTTCAACAAAACACACATTGAGGTAAATTCTTTTGAAATTTTTCAAAAATTTTTTAGATGTTTTGTTTTAATTTTCCATAAGGGGAATGGATTAAATTGCATTGCCATGAAAATGGTAAGAACATTGCATCATCAAAATCTCCTAAATCTTTACTTGAGTGCAGACGTTATGGATATTGTTTCTTCCTATTTACAGAGCTTACGAAAGGAAGCCTGGTCTATAGCTGAACTTGTACAAGCTGTCGTAATTATGGCACATTTCCATGCTCTGTCATCATTTGTGTTTGGCTGCGGAATCAAGAACGAGCCAGACCACCATGGAGGGTTCACATACAGACCCCACTCCCCCACGGAAAACGCCAATGACTCCGACTACACAAGTGACAGTTCTTCAGATAGTGTAAGTACTGACATAAACCAGGGATTGCCAATTTTCAAATTTCTATTGAAACATCAAAAATTAACAGGAAAAGCTAAAATGTATGTTATAAGGCTTGTTTCAATGGAGTGAAAATGCACTGTAAATGTATTGTCATCTTTTTCTGTTTGATAGAACTCCGAGCCAGAAGTTTGTATAGAGATTCTGATGGAAAGGATGAAGAAATTAAAGGAGAGTAATGAAGAAGAACCAACAGAGGAGGAGAGATTAAAGAGATTCGAAAAAGTGGAAACTCAGAGTGCAGAATGTAAGTATCATATAATATACTTACATCACGGACTGGGGTTATGGCTCTAAGAAATGGAAATTATTTAAACAAACCAGAAAGAGTCTCCATAGTGCACATCCATACATTCAGTCTTTTGTTTGTGAAATTTAAATTATAATGGGAATGAGCTTATAACAAAATGGATCTTTTTTTTTTTAACATGTTAATATGCCTTTTTTCAAATGAAACAGATAATAAAACAATACTTCCTCCATTTTAGTGGCAAAGCCTGGAAAGAAGCCCTCGCCAAAAGCTGAAATAATGAAATATGTTCAGGATGAAGAATTTTGTTATATAGACTTTACTAAACGTGCATGTACAGAAGAGGCACCCACGTTTAGAGCTAATGAATACTCGTGGGATGACCATGGATTTTCAATAGCCAATAGACTTTATTCTGAAATTGGCAATCTGTTGGACGAAAAGTTTAGCATGGCTTATAACCTAACCTATTATACGTAAGTAGTTATATATATATTTGAACTTTTAATTTAAAAAAAAAATTATATAATGATATTCATAAGCAAGAGATGATGTATAATGCATTATGCTTTGTTTCCAGGATGGGTGAGGTCATTGATGTCGATACTTCAGCATTTCGTCGTGCCATATGGTACTACATTCATTGCTTGTACGGAATAATGCATGACGATTATGATTACGGCCAAGTAAACCAACTTCTGGAACGAAACTTAAAAGCATACATCAAAACTGTCACCTGCTACCCAGAAAGGCTGGCCAAAAAAGATTATGACAACGTGATGAAGGAGTTCAAACACTCAGAAAAGGTATGTTGATTTCAAGTTTATCAGTTAAGAAAAGAAGGGCATCCCACTCCCGATCTTTATTAATGTAAATCTGCTAATAGTGACATACCTCATTATGTTGCTCCATGAGGCTTAAACTATCTACCTTTAATAATGCTATACTTACTCAATCATGCAAGTAATAAGCAAAACTGTGAAGTAATATATCAGTTTGTCCTAAATACTAGTTGTTGTTTACAAATCCCCTGTAGGATAGCCCATATTTCAGCATGTTTACTGTCACAGCTGACTGACCCAGTTAAAGTACACCGCTCAGGGCACAGTGTGTAGTTAGAAAACCTTTAGGAATATATTTATACAGCCCAGTTTAACCAATTTAGGTTTAAAATAAGGTCTCTGAGATTTTATTTCATTTCTCAACTATAAAACTTAATTGAAAAAAAAAATCTGGTTAATGTCTTATGAGAAGGCCATTTCATTTGTGTATTGAACAAGAAATTTGTTTTTAATGTACAAAATTTCTTGTTTATATGCCCCTACTTAATTCAGTTTTCTCTGTTTTAACAGGTGCATGTGAATCTAATGCTGCTAGAAGCTCGACTTCAAGGAGAACTGTTGTACGCCCTGCGAGGGGTAATGCAGTATATGACGTAGCACAGTTAAAGATTTAGTGACAAGTCTTCCATGACAATAAATTGGAGTCTGTGTGACAATAAATTGGCGTCTAAACCCACTCTCCTCTTAGGATCTCGTAAAATCCTCCACAGTGGTGCACGGAACAGTGGGGCGGTGCAAAAAGAAGCAGAACAAATTTTTTACCCATTGTGAACTCTGACTGTGATATTTGTTTTCCTGTGTTTAGTAGACTGAGAGAAGGAAAGAAAGAGACATGAGATTATAAACCAAGGCACTACTCGGAGTCTTGATGCAGTAGAAAATGAAACGGACAGATGATCCTAGGATCTGCCGTATCCCAAAATGAGTCCCCCGTTTTATGGGGCAGTGTCCAAGTCTTTCATTCATAGAACATGTTGTGGTACTGAACCTGTAGCGTATATAGGCCTTTGATTCTCCACACTCATGTTTAGTAATATGTTTTTTTTTTATGTTCGTTAAAACCAAAGTCTCCTGTAGATAGATAATTGTATTTCTAGTGTTGCATTCCACTGAGGTAAAGCGCTTATGTGGGAAGATGTTGGAAAAGTTTGGGTTTTTTTGACATGAAAATCTTTACAGTTCCATTTGTAAAATCCTTAGAGGCAAAACTGCTTTGCTAATTGTATAAATTGCATCAGGAGTCAAAAGTTTACATAAATGTATTCCAAATTTGATAGATTCATTTTGACAAAAAACTATGTATTTTAACTGATCTTTTTGAAGTACTTTTATGAACATGATGAAGAACAGGATTTAATTATAGACAACATTGTACCTCATAAGAGAGTCTGTTCTAGTCAAAAGTTCTATGTACCTACACAACAAATGGGCATTCAGAATGAACAAAAAGTATTTTAATTGAAAATCACCACCATCATTCATTATCATTGATCAAATCTTTCATTTTACGATTTAATACTGATTGAATGATACAAAATGATTTTGAAATTGATTTTCAACATATGCCAGTAACTTTTTTTTCCATATGCTGTAAAAATGCTCAGTTTGTAACAGCTTTTATTACAATTGTTTACATATTTTTTTCATGGATATATTTCCACCATTTTTTTTAAAAAATTCCATAAACTTAGTGCTGAAGAAAATCTTATCTTCCAAAACTTAACCAGATTGTTATGTAAAGTATGAAAATCCCAAATATGAAGTGCTCAAGCAAGATATTTTTGTTAAACAAGAAATAATATTGTTCTAGCTGTCCTGTTTATTATGAAAACATGAATCTTCATGAACAGTAGTTTGTTTCATGATGTTACCAGAAGCATTGATGTTAGTAGATAGTATTTACATTGTGTGTCCAGAGGAACAAAGTCTTACCTAAGACAGTTGAACAATCAAAGAGCTTCTTTTAATTTTTTTTTTAGTAAAAAAAAAAAAAAATGGGTTGGGAAAGCTAGGATTAATTGACGGGGAAGGGACATGTTTATTATGTGTTGTGTTTTCGTTAGATCTGAGACCTAATTAAATATTTTTTTGTTGATTTTTAAGACAGTTTATGTTGAATGAAAACTAATTGGCAATGTGCAATTTTCAGATAAGTATGCTAGTTGATGTATAGACATTTTGTTTCACACTTGAGCCACAAATATGATGGGGCAACACTATTCCCATCACAAAAAGAAATCCGGTGTTATTAACAAGCTTTTCACCATCTGTGTTTTGTTGAAATATTTTGCAGAAAGTGTGAAAATAAGATCTCGAAAGACATTACACATTCTTATGTAGAGTACAAGAACATGTAGAAATTTTCAAGGTGGCTACCAATGCTTGTTGTTTTCCAGTAATCAATGATAGCCTCCCCTGATCGGTTTAATTCAGTATTATGACTGTAAAAATGTCTTGTTCTCTAATCCAGGAGAATCCCATAGCAGTTGTGTTTTATATTTATTTATGACTCATTTCTTACATTGTGATAAAAATGTTGCAAAATAAAATCAATGAAACCAATTGCCTTGTTCAAAGTTCTCATTTATCCAGAAATTGTGATTTTTTATGTAGAATATACAACAGTATCAGATAATAACATTGCCTGATTGTCAGAACAAGCAATCGTTGGCACAACCTAAATTTGATTACCAGTATATTAATTTTGTGAAGGCTTTGTATGGAGAGAATACACTAATCTTTTTCCAGAATACAGTAGATTTTCAGCTGATATCTTTAAGATATATTGGCAGTGCTAAGTTTTGTTGACCTATATCAATATAAGATCCTTTGAGTCCCTACATAACGCAACAATTTCAACACAATAAGGGCGACATTTTGGCAACCCAATAGGTTTAAATGGAATTGAGGTTATTGGTAATGCCGTGAGAGAATAATATTACTGCTGGGAGATATGAATGGAATGAAAAGGAAGGATTTACGTCAGAAGTAGGGAAATGTAGAGATGTTCCTATTTAACAGGTTCTGATGATGAGAGTTTAATACCTGTAAAAGAACTTGGTCTCTTTCTCTTTACAAATTCTCTACTATGGATAGTTTATATTGCAATACATATGTTCAAGTTGAAATGAATGAAACAGAATTTATGTGTAGGATTTCTATCACTTATTTAGGTGGAATGATTTGCCAAAACTGCTTGCTCGTCAGGGAAGTCCCGTTGTTTGTATTCATAAGCTTTTCATTGAAAAGGGGCGACACTTTGTATGACCGTTTTGTGTTTTTAACATGCTTTGCTCTGACGTAAACGTTGACATAAAGAAAAATGTCTTATACTCGCAGGTTTATTGAGAAGTGAACACTCCCATTCTCGTTAAGTGATGGCTATAGAGACAGCTAAACGTGCTGATTTGAGCCTATTTCATTGTATCAAAATTATTTGATACAATGAAATGGGCTCAAATCAGCATGTTTAGTGGAGGGGACATACGTTTCTAGAGCTTGTGCCCTATCCAACAAATATTATTTTTAAAACACAAGCTCTAAAAACGTATGTCCCCTTTTCCTCCAAGTATATTTTAAGAGAGTAGGAAATCCAGAAAATCAAGAAATCCTAAAGAGTCTGACATTTTTAAGATAAAGAAATTCATGAGAGTATGAAATCAAAGAGTGTATGAAATGAGAAGAGAGTATAAATCCTAAAGAGTAAGAAATCCAGACGATAGAGAAATCCAAAATAGTTATTAAAAAACCCAAAAGAGTATGAAATTCAAAAGGTTATAAAATCCAGAGGATAGAGAAATCCAAAAAGTAAATATGAAATCCAAAAGACAAAGAAATCCAAGAGAGTACGAAATCCAGTAGAAGACCAAGAAATCCAAGAGACTATGAAATCCAAAAGATAAATAAATCCAAGAGAGTATGAAGTACAGTAGAAGACCAAAACATCCAAGAGTGTATGAAATCCAGTAGATAGAGAAATCCAAGAGTGTATGAAATCCAGTAGATAGAGAAATCTAAGAGTGCATGAAATCCAGTAGATAGAGAAATCTAAGAGTGTATGAAATCCAGTAGATAGAGAAATCTAAGAGTGTATGAAATCCAGTAGATAGAGAAATCTAAGAGTGTATGAAATCCAGTAGATAGAGAAATCTAAGAGTGTATGAAATCCAGTAGATAGAGAAATCTAAGAGTGCATGAAATCCAGTAGATAGAGAAATCTAAGAGTGTATGAAATCCAGTAGATAGAGAAATCTAAGAGTGTATGAAATCCAGTAGATAGAGAAATCTAAGAGTGTATGAAATCCAGTAGATAGAGAAATCTAAGAGTGTATGAAATCCAATAGATAGAGAAATCCAAGAGAGTATGAAATTCAGAAGATAGAGAAATCCAAGAGTGTATGAAATCCAGGAGATAAAGAAATCCAAGAGAGTATGAAATCCAGAAGAGATGGCAAGTTTTGATAGAAGTGATACTTCAACAAAAATGAGTGTATGTAAATGCTAGAGTTTTTTTAAAGAAATTTTAAGAAATCATATTCAAAGATATAAATTCGTATAAAAATATTTTCAATAAGGTTTCGTTCCAATTTGAATATAGAGCTGTTACATCCAGAAGCAAAATTTAGCGCTCAAAACGATATTCCTTCTAAAATGCATCCTACTATATATAACGAGCATACTAGTCCCCTACCGGCAAGTGTAATCTGGTTAACATTAAAAATTGAAAATGCCATAATTCCGTAAAAAATCATTGAAGCGGAACGAAATGCAAAGGTGATCTATAACTAATCAAGGTAAAGTCACATACCAAATTCAGCTCAATATCTGCAAGCGTTTAGAAAAAATGCGGAAAACTCTTAAAAATTGAAAAGGTCGTAATTCCGTCAAAATCAATGAAGCGGAAAGAAATGCATACTTGATCTGTAACTCAGCAAGATACACTCACATACCAAAAATCAGCTCAATATCTGCAAGCGTTTAGGAACAAAGTGCGGAAAACCAAGTGAAACATACAGACGGACAAACGCAGAGGAAACCTAAAGTCCCCTTTAGCACAGGTAGGGGACTAATAAATAAAAGCATTGAAAATCCTTTTCTACGATCAACCTTTGACGCAGATCTGCATGGAAGCTGAAAATGTGTTTCATGGATAACATTTTTTTTAATAATTTAGGCTAATTTTTTTCCGTTTCATTCTTTTTTACTAAATGATGAATATGTACATATACTTTTCTTACAACGACTTGATATAGATTTGCCAAAAGCATCCCCTCAGAAGAACTGACCAATTAATATGTCATGCAATGCCTCCTAAGATATCCGACATTTGACCCTATGAACACGTCCAATGTGTGCACGTGCAACGTAAACACGTGGGAACTGTACATCTTACCGGGTTCTATTTCTGCCAATTGCTTCCAGACACCAAACTGAAGACGTCAGCAGAACTGCATAGCACAATGCTATATGTATATGTATCTTTCTATATATAGAACTTCATTGACCCTCAGTTGGGCAGAGATCTATGATGCCAAGAGCATTCAATGTTACAGCACCAAGCAAAACTAAATTGCGAGTGTTCTATCAAACTCAGGGCCAACCCAAAATCAGTATTTTGCTTACAATATGTATCGTTGTAAAATGGCTGTAGTTTTTACATGAATCAAAAAAAAAAAAAAAAAAAAAAAAAAAAAATTCTTTACCAATTCCCTGGTGCGTTCAAGGAATAAACGTGGAATTAAAAGTTGTTGCAAAAAAGAATAAGTGCTATTAAATGTTGCCCTTTAGTGCGGTATCATGTTGTAAATTTTGAATTTACTACGTGGAGGTAAATGCAAAAGGTATGAGAATGAAATCTGTTCACTTCAACATAATTGTACATTAAATTTTACAACTATTAAAATTTAATGTATTTCCAATGTATGCCGAATTATTAATTTGTGGACCTGTGCAAGGAATAAACCATCCCTGGCAATTCATTTAAAAAAATAATAACAATTCTTTGATATTATTGAATTATATAAATCCATTCAATAAAACATTTGTCAGGCCCCTAAATCTCGGATTACGCAAAATCCACTGACTGACGCACTCGGGCGAATAAGAAGATCCGGGCACCTGCTGATCCACGATAAAGTCCGGGTATTGGAGCTTGAGTAAGCAAGAACGTTCTGGTCGGGGCATTATCCAGTCTCCCGCACAGAAACAATTCTGGAGGAGGAATGGATTATGTATCGAATAGTGCTCCCAAAGTCAATTTGACACGCGAAGAAGGCGATGAACTGGTGGTTAAGCCGACCCCCTGTTAGAGATAGACTTTGTGGCGAAGTCGTCACTGCTGCTGACTTTCTGTGGCATTGTACACTGACTTTTTTTTTATTGAATATTTATGAGGAAAAGGTAACTGAGGAGAGTGCTCCAGTTTTATAAGACTTTGAAAAAAGAAGACAAATTAAACTACTACCCGTCTAGCTGTTCCGGAAGAGCGCAAAAGTGACCCTAAAACAGAAATGTAATCAATGTATTTAATTTCTTTCATTTTTTAAGTAAAGCGAGAAACTGAGAGAAAGAGAGAGACGGAGAGAGTCAGACAGAGAGATTTATATGTTTAAAATAAGTGGAACTCTGGAAATTTGGACATCAAAGTTGAATAACCGAAGGAAGAGTAAATGGAAAAAGTGTATAGTATGACTATCGACATAGATATATTGAAGGTCCTTCACTATCAGTGACCTTAAGATAAACCCGAAAGCTGCTCACCGACTTCTGATGGAATGTCAGGAATTTTTGATCGAGCACTCGTGCGAACCAGCAGATGTCCATTTCAACATAAAGGACGATTGATATCAATTATGATGAGTAATCATACGTATTACATAATAAACAGAGTCATGAAGGGAGAGTTGTCACGTAGCTATTACTTATATAGTGCATCCGAGTTACAGTGTATATGGTTTTGAAAAGTTATCACTGGCCGTATTCAGCATAGTAAAATGATACATGTATTTAATTAACTGTTCAAAATGCAATAAGTTGTTTTGCTGAACATTGTACATTTGTATCGAGGTTGTTACCCCCTATATGTATATGTAGTATGTTAAACGTATTTAAAACATACGGATAAAGGAAATATGCCTGCTTTTTTCTAAGGAGTATAGGTACAATAATTTACGTTTAATATTGAATTGATTAGATTGATCTAGATCGGACAATGTTTTAATTTTATAGATGGCAATGACCAGTTCTCGTAGAGTCGAGGTATAGTAAACAAGGAAGGCGAACAAGCCGAGAAAAATGCCCAACGGAAAGTGAACAGTCTTTTATATTTAACCTAATATCAATGTATACTCTGTGTAAAATCTACACAATTTGCAACATTCTCACAAGTATTAAAATTATTCGTCTGTGAAAGTTATCATTTCTTCATATCATAACACAATTTTTCAGTATACATGTACATATAAGTGGGTCTTGGCGCCATTTTTTGAAAGTATATCTTCAAAAACTGTTTTTTTGCTTAACATAAACATGGAGCAATTTAAGGACCCACTCTACCTTGAAAA